TTGCATCTTTTTGTGCCTTTGTACTTCTGCCCTTTTTGACCTCCCTTGGGGGGTTGATCCATAGGAAGTGTGAATGGCAGAAACTCACTTGAAACCAGTGGGTGAGTGGGTAGAGATGAAGGAGGGAGGCATGTCTCTGCTCAGCCTTCTTCTCCGGGTGGGCTGCTCATCTGCACCTTCAGCCTAAGGCTTTTCCAGTGGCTGTTTTAGCTTGAAGGAATGAGTTAAAAGGTTGGTTTTTTTTGTTTGTTTTGTTTTGTTTTTGTTTTTTTTCTGGAGTCAAGAGAAGTCTTTAAGGTATGCTCTTGGTTTGCTTTAGTGTTTCTTACACTGAACTGCACGCACAACATCTGCAGCAGGTACTGAGGCTGAGCTGCCTGCTGGCCTGTTTCTATCTGAGCACTGCTGTGTGAATTGAGCCCGATCAAAACTTCATCAGGCTCCTAAAGAAGCAATGCCAGTGTCTACTTGCCTGTATGAAAGCGTAAAAGTCAGAAGGAGAAAATTACCAGTTTTACTCAAACAGATTGATTTTTAATTCAAGCTGTTTTAGAAGCTGAATTGCAATAAGAAAACATTTCAAAGTGTAATATATGTATTCTCTTTTTCTCTTTTTTTTTTTTGTTACCAGCTTGATAGACAATTTACAAATAACTGACTTTCAGGCTGGTGTGGATACTGCTGCTGAGTTAGCAGCCATCAGCAAACAGCAGCACCTGTCTGAGCCCTGGCACGAGGGCTGCCTGTGGCACCGTGTGTGTTTGCCTGTGGGAGCTGCCTGGCTCAGTTAATTACAGGTGCTTGTTTTCTAAGCTCAGTTTCTAAACACAGTGAACTCAGTGGGTGATGGTGGTGCAGGCAGTGGTTCAGGCTGGCTCCACTTGGGAAGCTCTGAAAACCTCCTCCCTAGGGAAAGCTACTGGGCAGCTTGGGCTCTGACTCCTGGAGTCAGGGCAGTGTGCACCATCTAGAGGGAGAGCTGATGCCTGAGGTGGGATGGGAGAGGAAAACAGGCCACCTTGTTTTCCTGTGCTAAACTTGCAAAACACTGAAGAGTAAATATTTGCAGGTTCTATTTTAGTGCTTTTTTTTTTTTTGCTTTTTTTTTTTTTTTTTTTTCAAATGAGGTCAGAAAGCAAGGATCAGTAATGCATAAAATAGTCAGAAGTGTGGGTGGGTGGAGTGCTGGAGAATGTTATGGAATAGCTGGCCTTGTTTGTAACTTCAGGTATTTGTGTGGGTAACGTGAAAGTGTATGCAGTAATTGGCTTGTGTATCTTGCTACTATTTATATTGTAATGGAACAAATACTTTCCCCAGGAATTACAATTTTCTGCTTTTTCAGTCTACAGAAGTGCTTCTGACAGACCTGCCCGGGGTGGGATATTTGTTTGTGGCTTAGTCTTAATTTTTACTTCTAAAAACTGACTTCTTACCATTTGGTAATACTCTTTATTTCAGGGGAAACAATGCAGAAGCTCAGCTGTTGGCTTTGTTTGGGTTTTCTTTTCCTACAGACTACAGCTTAACTCCTATCAGAGAGTGGTATATTCAACTAAAAGCATGCTTGTCCTTTAGACTTGACTGGGGATTTTCCACACGGGCTCTGCAGATCTGTCCCCAGAGGTCAGATTCCAGCTTACTGTAAATGAGTTGCAGCTGTGAAAACTCTTAAAATGAGCAGCCCTGTCTGCTGTCCTTAGGGTGAGTGTGCAGGGAGGGCATTCCTCTGACGCATCTCCGCTTGTTGGCTTTCAAAGCTGAAGCTTCAGAATCAGCTGGGGGCCGTTTCTGGCTGCCAGTGAGAAGCCATGTCTACAGGGAGGAGTGCAACCCCAGGCTGTGGCACGGCTGTGTTGCAGTTCAATGCGGAACCTGGGTGAGCAAAGCGTTCTCATGTGCTCCAGTTTCACTTCTGCTGTGTTTCTTACAGTTCGGAGGTGATGTTGTATTTTGGGTATCAGGAGTGTTTTGCCGTAGATAAATAAGCACTGAGAGCCATCAGCTCCCAAGAGGGCAGCCTGGCTTGCTCTGCATGCTGGATACCCCTCGGGGTGGGATCAGCTTTAGGAGAAGCAGCAAAGTGCTGACGGCACTGAGCCCAGCTCCTCTTGGTTCTGGAGTCTGTGTGACTTTGGCTCACATGAGCTCTTGGCTTCACGTGTCAGTTTGAAGGCTGGGACAGCAGGCCGGTGCTCAGCAGGCTGGGCTTTCCCCAGCACGAGGCGTTAATCCGTAGCTTAAGATCTATTTTTTGAAGCAGATGGCTGAGCCGGTGCTGAGCAGCTTAGTGCTGCTGGGTGCTGCCTGGTGAAGGGCCCTGGGCACGCTCCGAGCTGGAGACCTTTCCTTTCCCCATTGGCAGCTCTGCACGGTGCTCACTTGGATGGGGGTAACTCTGCCTGGTGGGGTGGGAAGTGTTGGGGCCTCCTCCAGATGGGCCTGACCTTTGCCATGTCTGTGCTGAACACAGCCAGGAGGAGCACGAGGAACGGATGGCTGCTTGTCTGCCTGTGCTGCCTGTTTCCAGCTTTGTTCCAGCACGTGCTGTTAGCTTGTGCAATCTGGTGCTTAATGGAGTTAGGGCATGGTGCTTGAAGACCTGCATCCAGAGAACCTTTTATCACAGTATTTTGAGTGTCTTTCTCAAAGCCTAAGCTGTGACGTATTCCTGAACAGCTTCTAAGGGCCTCCACAAGGCAGGAAGCAGGCTGGTTGGCCATGCTGTGCAGCTGTACCAGCACCAGTTTGCACTGCTGAACTGCATTGGGTTCCTCAGCACTGCAGCCAGCAGTCAGGCTGGGACCAGCAGTCAGGCTGGGACCAGCAGTCAGGCTGGGACCAGCAGTCAGGCTGGGACCAGCAGTCAGGCTGGGACCAGCAGTCAGGCTGGGACCAGCAGTCAGGCTGGGACCAGCAGTCAGGCTGGGACCAGCAGTCAGGCTGGGACCAGCAGTCAGGCTGGGACCAGCAGTCAGGCTGGGACCAGCAGTCAGGCTGGGACGGCCGGCGGTGCTGTCACAGAGATCCTGGGTGAGGTGCTCTCAGGCACCACAGGAAATTGAAGTCCAGATTGAGTGACCTTTTTAGCAAAGAGCTCATGGAATTAATCCAGCTCTGAGCTAAAGTAATATTTTCTAAAGGATTTGTTGTGCCCTCAGGGGCAGCTGCCAAGCTGGGCCTCTGGCTGCACGGCTGTGTCAGAACAGCAGCAAGGATGGGTGGCAGGGCTGCAGTGTGGATGGAGCCTGTCTGCCTGCAGTGAGTGCTTCTTGCCTCGGCCTCGAACGGGGTTCTCTGCTAACTGCCCTGAGAGGGAAGCTGATGAAGAGTGGCTGCCCCATCTGGGTTGGGTTTGGGGCAAAGCTCAGCCAGGAAGCACTGCTTCTTCATCAGATTTGTTCGTTTGGTACGCTGAGAAAGTTTTACAAACTAACAAATCGTTGTGACCTTCCCTGAACTGTTTTGCCAATGTGTTTGCAGCAAAATCTGGGAGGGCAGCGTATGTGCTGCCCTGGGCACATGCTCCCCGAAGCCCCTGTGTGCTGTGGTGTGCTTCAGTGCAGAGCCGTGCCGTGTCCTCAAAGCTTTTGGCACAATCACCTGTAAGGTGCTTCAGTGGCTGCAATAGGAGTAGATTTGTTGTTCTCATGCCCAGGTTTCCTGTCAGAGCCGTATCTCACTTGCAGCATGCTCTGGGAGTTACTTTTTCCCCTTTTGGCCCCTGGCTTTATCTGAGGTCTCTGTACCAGTAGTGCAGCTTCCTGTCTCACAATGCTTCCTTCCTTTAGCTTCACCTTGGTGTGGTTGTTCAGACCCAACAGCTATGCTTTTCCTCTCCTCTCGTGCTTCTCACATGCTCATTGCAGAGCTGGTGGTTACAGGGACCTTGGAGGTCACTTGGCCAACTCTGCCTGAATCAGCCAGCACCACACGGAGCGGTGAAAACGCACCCTTGTTCTTGCAGAAACCTGGGGCAGATCTGTTTTTGGGCACTGATGTATTTAATCTTTCTTTCTGTGCAAGGCCAGTGCAGGGCCAGCTCTCTGCTCTGCTACTTGGCACTCAAGGCTGCTAGCAGCAGTTTCATAGACTCCGTTCAAAAAGTTTTCTGGAAAACAGTGGAATGGTGCCTAGAGCTGCCAGTGTCTTTTTATGAAAAAGACCCATGTGGTGGTGCTTAAAACCATCTATCTCATCGTTTTTGTCTTCTATTAAAACTTGCTGAGTTATTGTGGCCAGGATGTGTTGAAGTACATATTTGAGAGGGGGTTTGTAACCTAATGACAACATTTCTTACTGGGGGATTTAGGACAGCGGAGAAAAGGATGATCTGTCTGAGCCTTCACTGATGTCGTTGGATCTGAAGAGAACCTGCCTCTGTCTGCCTCCAAACCTCACTGTTCTGCCAACAATTCATTGTGACACAGTTGGTTGCGACTGTTTGTCTTACAGAGAGACTTTCTTCGGATATACGCAAACAACATCTGTGATGTAAAGCACAACTACGATCACCTCTGCTCTTCTGCCTGCAGAGATCTCTCTTAATGCTTGGAGTCTGCTCTAAAGCTCTTACTTTCCCAGAGCAGCTTGTCCTGAGAGGTGCCTATGGTTTGTGGAGTGTGCCAAGCAATGCCCTCCATCGCTCAGCACTTAATATGAAAAGGCAGTGCAAGAGAAACATGGTTTGTCCATTGAGCAAGGGTCCTTTTTCTTTTTTTTTAGCAGAATAGTACATGAATGCACATTTTATGGTTCTTTTCCTATCCTTGTGACATCAACCTTGGAAAGATGGGCACAGAACTGCTATTAGTGAGGCAAGCTGGAACGAGTTTGAGAATTTTCATGCTGTCCTGCAGAGTGTGGCCAGGGAAGGGAATAAAATCAACCGCTTCATAAGCATTGGAGCAGTGAGACCACACTGACTGTTCTTGGGTTTTCCATTTATTTTCTCTTTAAAGGAAGAAGCAAAATAAACCAGGCTTCATCTTTCTTTGTAGGTGAAGTCAGTGATAAATCTGCTGTTTGCCGCCTACACGGGGGATGTGTCTGCGCTCCGGAGGTAAAAATCTGCGTGGGGCTGAGAACAGGAGAGCTGCTAGTTTGGGGGCTGCCCTTGTTTGCTTCTAAATGTACTCTGTGTTGGTGTTGAGGATGTCGAGGCTGTACTGGAGATGGAATGTGTTCTATACATGCCCCCCTAATCATTGCATTTTAACTTCTGTTTGGCTGAACGCACTTGAAAGTTTAGACATTATACCAATGTGTAGAAGGAGAAGTATAAGGATGCATAGACTGTTAGAACCCCCTCCCTCCCCCCCAAAGTGCTTTATTTTTTTTTCTTATAACAGCTAAGGGTTTAGCTTTCTTCCTAATCTCTATCCTATTTTTGAAGCCAAGGCAGTAAGGGCCCCCTTCCTTACCACTTGTTGCCATTTATATCTTTCTTGCAACTGATGTGTCATCGTTCTAGCAGAGTGGTATTGTTCCCTCCTAGTTTTGTAACTCATTTTAATTATATAAGGCTTTTCTTTACAATCAATTCCTTTTTTAGATTTGCTCTGTCAGGGATGGATATGGAACAGAGAGACTATGACTCACGAACAGCGTTGCACGTAGCAGCTGCAGAAGGTAATGTCTCACTGTGTGTAACTTGCTGTCTCCTATTTTACATCTATGTAGCTGCATGTTAACTTATACACACTCCCAATTCTGTCTCACAGGACATGTGGATGTCGTTAAGTTCCTGCTGGAGGCCTGCAAAGTGAATCCCTTCCCCAAAGACAGGTGCGTGGTTTTAGTGCTGGTCTCCACTGGGAGGAGGCGAGGCTGCCATGCATGGAGTTGAGGTAGAGAGGCAGAAGGAACTGCTGTCCTGCTGGCAAATCCTGGTGCTCTGAGCAAACACGAGTGAAGGGTGGGGAAGCCATTAAAAAACATTACTTAAAAGGTTAAGTTCAGCTTACCAAGTATTTGCCTAGTTAGTGGGCTTAGAGTGTTTTGTGTGCTGTTACTGGAGTATGTACAGAATGAGAGTTGTGCTGCTTTTAGCCCCGTGCTTGCATGCTGATCCTAGAAATACTGTCTTCTTCCCCGTAGATGGAATAACACTCCAATGGATGAAGCTTTACATTTTGGACACCACGATGTGTTTAAAATTCTCCAAGAGTATCAGGTCCAATACACACCATCAGAGGATTCCAATAATGGCAAGGAGAACCGAACGGTTCATAAAAACCTGGATGGCTTACTATAATCATTCTCAGCTAGATCCTAAGAATCCAATCAGTTACCTATTTAATTGTGGTATACTTAAGTAACAAAGAGCGTGTGTGTTTCTATCTGATAGTGGTATATATTTTACAGAAGTCTCTGTTACTTCAGTGTTATGTTACAGGAGTTTCTATACGCACAGGACAAATCCAATCTCTCTCAAAACGAAAAGAAAAACAAAACCAACTAAGAATCTCCCTCCATAATGTGAGCAATATTACCTCATGCTGCATATAATTGATGTATACAAATATTTAGCTGTTGTTGGCTTTACTGTGCACTACTTTAATTTATTTTTTGTGTTGGATGTGAACTCTGGTGTGTGGTCAGGAATTTCTTTTTGCTCAGTTTTTGTTTCTACAGCCCTCTGTTTGCAGTATGGCCGAGATGAGCCGGAGTACAGGTGGGAGCAGCAGTGAGGTTTTCGAAAGCTGAGGATGCTGATGTAGATGTAGGCAGGGTGTGTTAGGTAAGGATCTGCACTCACTTCTTAAAAAACAAAGAAGATTCCATGCAAGCTTGTTTACATTCTGTAAATCTCAAAAGAGTATATAGGTGACAGTTGTCAAAGGTCTTAGGCTTGTTTTTAGAGGTAGTCTCATTATGGCATCTGTTTTAAGGTTTGTTTGACCAAATGGCACAGAGGAGGGGGGAACGTGATTTGTAACATCTACCAGTGTTTAGGTTTTTTTTTTGTTGTGTTGCTTTAGCATTTCTTTCAGTTCCCCTTGTCTTTCCTCCCTCCTCTCTCCATGTTCAGCTGCTAAGGTCCTTCCCCGTGGCTGGGGAAAGCGGATGCTTCCACTCTATGCAGTCGTGTTCCTTGCAGGTATATTTGCACTTGGGTAAGCCTTGACAAGCTGCAAGACTCTGCTTTGGGCTGATGTTTTTTGTTCTTGGCAGTTGCATCAGGAACCAGGGAGGGGAATGCAGGCACGTGAAAGGCAAAACACTAAACCAAATACTACATGTAAATCTGACTACATTTAGGCTTGTATGAGGAACACAGATGGAGTGAAACAGCTTTAAGGAGCACAGAGCCAATCTAAGCATGAGCGGAGCAGGAGATAAGCCAGATTTTGGGAACGTTCTCTTCTTGCACTGCCATCCATCAAGAATTGGGATGTCAGTGGGGTTATGCTGGTGTAGGATAGGTGCTCAGCAACAGGAGTGCAATTAGGCGATGTCTTGGAGCAGTGGCGCTTCTTGTCTTACTGCAGAAGCAGCTTAGCACATGCTCTGGCATGGGAAATGTAGATGCAGATATTTTGTTGTTTGCAGAACTGTGATGTTCCCTATCCCACGTGCAATTGTTTTTACCAATGCTGTGCTGTGGTTTAGAAACCTCAGATGATCAGGGATTCCAAGTTAAGAGCCTTGCTTTCACAAGACTCCGCAGTTGTTGGACGGAGGTGGATTTTAAAGGAGAGTCGGTGTGGCACATGGAAATCATGTTTAAGAATAGCACAAACAGCAGGCTTTATGCTGGCACAAAACACAAAGCATCAGTAGATCTTGAAGTTCAAACTTTGCATGTGGGCACCAAAATCCTCCAGAATCGATGCACAGATTCTTTCTAGAGTGGGCCAAGCACTTTATGAAGATGATCCGAAACGCATTATCTTTCTTTTGCAAATCAGAAGCATTGAGAGAAGTGCATTCTCCAGAATGACCCAGAAGGTCATAACAGCTGAGAAGAAATCCTCTTGAGATCCTGTACAGTTCTCTACTCGATATGCCATACTGCCTCCCACAGGGAGGAAAAATCAAATGGAAAAGTGCTTGATACTCATCACAAGCAGTGGCTGTCCTCATGCTGATGAAATCCTGGATGAATCTGAATGTCTAAAGCCCTGAAATCACCTTTCTGCACTGGCTGGCATGGTTTTGCATGGTTATCAAACACTTTTTCTGAAGAATCTTACTGATATTAAGCTGCAGTGCTTTTTGTTCTTTTCTTCCTGAAGATCAGCTATTTTTCTGAAGGCTTTCAAACATCATCTAACCCATTCTCTTCACAACCTGTGTCACAGCCACCTTAGTTTTAGTTGAGAACTGAATCCAACGGCCTTTGGCTCTTTATTGAGCCAGTGACACTGGTCACTGAATAGCTCAAGGCCTCTTCTCTGCTGCACCCTACGCTAAGTTTCAGCTCGTTTTCTCTGGCAACACATTTATTAAGTCAAGCATAGTGGTGTGAAGTCTTTCACATGGGCTCTAGTATCCAGTATCTTGGTGATAGTCTGACTTCTTCCATTTTTCTATGAGAACATATCCTTCAGCTTCTCAGAAAAATACCTGATTTCACTGTATTTAACTGAAACTTGCATTGCTCAAACAGGCACTTCCAAAAGGTAGGCTTATTATATAGTACACGTATATACAAACCTCCCCAAAGCAGCATTTTAACTGAATTAACTTAAAAACTCACAGCTGTCCCTATACTTAATGCTTTCTAGATCCTACAGAGTGCTTTTAGCCAGTCTTAGCTTCAAGTGCATTTCTGCTGGATAGTTTTAGTATTTTCTCATTGTGAGAAGATGCGTTATTTTGTAACGTCCGATTAAGCAAAGCAGCTCTTTAGACATGGCATTATTTATAAATATATGCAGTATATTGGTTTGGCTGTTCATCATCTATGACACTGACACGTAGGTTTTAACGTGAATAGCTTTTGGTTATCTTTTCCAGTGCTGACTTCCTTATGCTCCAAAGAAGATTCCCTCACACCTTTGTTTTGTCACGTTTCTTCTGTACCACAAACTGAATTCAGCTAACTTAATGCTTTGTACTCAGAAATACTGTGATAGTCTTAGCATTAATTAGCCAACCTTTGTGAACAAAATGTATTGTACCGGATTTTTGTTTTGCTTCAGAGCTGGACTATCAGTGACTGTACTTATTGGCAGTGTACTTCTGGACATTGTAACTGACTGGGCTGATCTTGACTTCTGGATTCTGTCTTGTGGGGAACAGACAGTGATGAATGTATTTCTAGCAGTTTCCCATGAATGAATCTAAACTTGAGCTGTACTGGTTCTGAAAATGAAAGCTATTTATTTTAAGAAATAAAATCCAGATAGTGTTGCTTTTTACAGCATAATAAATGGAAATACCAAGAAGCTGGTGGTGGGTTTTTATTGGTTTTCTGTGCGACTGCATCGAGATGCAAACCTTCTGTCCTAAAAAACCTAATCTGCTCTCTTCTGTTGTGCAACCAAGTGAGCTGATGAAGTCTATGTGTAGAGGGCTGTGTCATTTCACTTGCTGTGTCCGTTAATGCTGCAATTCTGACGTGGATTGGCCGTGTGCCCTCAACAGCTCCATCCTTCTCTCGCCTACTCTTCCATCCCTCATCTCAACAGTTTCTTTTCTTTTAGTTGTCTTCTGGCTGTGTAAAATGTGAAAGCCTGAGCCAAGAGGTTGTATCGCCCGATGGCCGCAGAGCAAGGCGAGGCACCAGTGGGGTCAGCTTGATGGCCCACGAAGGTTAGTGGTAGGCCAATTATTTTATAGCTTAAATCAGAAATCCAAGCAGAATCTACTGAAGTTGGTTTGAAGAAAAAAAAATTGACAGCCATTGTTCTGAGAACTCTAATGCAGACTGACCTGTAGCAATGCATTACATTGAAAGCACATACGTTGCTTTAAGCACCAGAACTGTATCTATTCTGTGAATAATTAACCAGTTACAGGTGCATTATAATCATAAAAGAACAAAACAGCACACAGGGCAAGTGTCAGTACACAGTTCCATTTATTTAAAACAGCAGAAAAAACAGTCTCTTAGTGGGGAGTGAAAAGAACAATAATGCTTTTGGGACTACTGGCCCAAAAGAGGCAAAGCTGACATAGGGCCACTGCTTTAAATCTCATAAGAAAACCTCATCCTGGCTGCTCACATTGTAGTTTACAAGTAATGAAAACAAACTGGCACATAAAACGTGGGTAGAAGATGTAAGTCAAGAAACAAATGTCTGCTTTTGTTTCACCAAAATTTTAGCATTCAGTTATTTGTGATAACATGAAAATATCAGGTCACCGGTTGTGATTCCCTGTTAACCTCAGCTATGTTTGGCACAAAAAAATAAAGTGTAGGAACACTTTGCTAGGTCCTGCATATTTTACTTCCTTCAAGCTTTCTCAGGGGCCACATAGGTCATCTTGGGCACAACACTAAACTGAACTGGTTGTTTTATTTAACAATCAGTGGATCGATTTGGCATATCTGCATGGCAGCAAAGTAGCACTGCAGTCCTGATCTCCCAGGCAGTGGCAGTGCATGGCAGCAGGCTCAGAAGCTGCAGTAGGAACTGCTTAAGTATGTGGGATCCAGCATCAGTGTTGTGGAGCCCTTCTGATCAGCTGTGTGCTAATTAGCAGTCTGGACTAATAAATGCTCTCAGTCCAAGAGACCCACTGCTAAAGGCAACCTTACCTCTTAACAGTGAAGTATTAACTAGTTGTCCTAAGAAGTGCTCTTAATGTCAAAGATCATGCAAAGCATCCTACCCAAGAAGCCTTTACTATGAAAATAAGCAAAAATGAACTGTTTTTTGGTTTATGTTCTTCTGCAGGGCAGCACGCTATGCCTGCATCAAAGAAAGCCAGAGCAAACTGCAGCAGCACACGGATTTGCTGTGGTGTGTACCTGCAGTGTTCATCTGCTCATTTTTCTGTGATGCAGAAGAAAACATGAAGTTTTTCAGAAGCAATTGCTCAGCAGGTGAAGGCTTTCTGAACAGACCCTCTGCAAAAGAACGAGCTTTCCTTTGAAGCATTCTATGTACAGCCAGCTACTTTAGCTGTTCCATTCCACTAACATGCTTCAGTGTATGTTTCTCCCTCGCTCTTGCTGAGGGCCCCTTGTTCCTGTTCTCCTTTCTTCCTGCACTCTGGTACAGCATCTTGTCAATAGCAAATTGTTTAATGCAATTTGAAATAAAGAAGTGCACATACAGAGGCTATTCAAATGCTGCTTACATTCCCCCCTGATTAGAAATTGCTACTGGACTTTCAGGTTGAGAAACTGATGTGCTTTGAATTACGTGTAGCCTTCCCAAAGAATTGAAGCCCAACTGTAGAGCAGGACGCAGAAGCTGATTGGCTGTGCTAGTGGTGCAGTAAAAAGCTCTAACTTTACGTCGTGTATGCTGAACACATCTGCAATAAGGAAATTACAGGTCAAATAGACAAGCAGACTGGAGCCCCAACACTGCCTTGTTAGCTAGCAACAGAGCACAATAAAGCCCTCCTCAAATATACAAAGATGTGAATCTGGTGCTCAAACTACTGTGGGGCTGGAGCCATGCTTCAATTTGTTGGTAATTTTTTTCCTGAAGTACAACACAGGGATGATACTGGTCTGTTAGCAGCCAGCACCTCACAGGCACTGGTGCAGCAGCGCCTCCGAGTTGCACGCCATCTCCTGCTTTTCTCCCTTCCCCGAGCACAAAAGATTATAGCATTTTTCCTTCCTCCTTTTCTATTTCCCCATAAGGAAGAGGGAGAATGCTGGGGGTGGGGGGAAGAGAAATGGAAACATATCCCAATTCTCCTGCAAATAGATGCTTTGTGATACGTACCACTGTGTCAATCTCTGCTGGGTCCACCATCCGAGACACCTCATCAAACTCTTCAGGAGACATGGGCAGCAGATTTTCTGGAGATTGGAGCCTGGATGGGTGGCTAATAGAAGAAGAGGACAAAGAAACCTTTGCTAAAGAACCGAGGTGCAGCTGGGCTACCATGTCTGCCTCACAACCCTGAAGTTCCATTAACTGTAGGAGAGCTGTTAGGTCAGGGCTTGAAGTGTGGTGATGGAGCACCTGGAGAAGGGCTGTGTCTGCCCAGGGAGCACAAATTGTTTGCTCCTGTGCTCCTTAGCTGACCAGAAGGGGTGGGCTGGGAGTGGAGCCACCCATAGCTCATATAAAGGCCAGCCACTGAAGAGAGAGCATTTGTTGAACCTGGGTTGCTTCCTGGGGAGTGCTGCAGTGCCAGAGAGACCCTTCACCAGCTGGGTGAGTCAGTCTTCTTTCTGTACATGATTGTTGGCCTATCTGTGAATGTTTTGCCTTGGGTTGTTTTTGTTTGTTTGTTTTTTTTAATGTATTTTTACTTTAAAATTGTAATTGCTTTAGAGATAACAGTATATAAACGTGGGCTGATCACCTCCTCAAAGGGAGGAAAGATGGCACCTGCAACTTGAATGTTATGAACACTGATGAGCTACAGCTGAAAAAATCATGCTTAGTTCTTAAAAAAAAAAAAACAGCATTTATATGAGAACTTACACTTCAGATACAGAGATTAACTCAGTCCTGATGTAGCCGTTTCCTTTGGGAGTATCTGTATCCATAGGCTCTGGGGCTTCAAGGAAAGAGAGAAAAATAAATGGCTTGGTTTTTTATTAGCAAGTTTATCTCCTGCTGCCATCTCTGTTGATACAAATACAGCTTGTGGCCAAAACAATACACAGATCTCTCTTGTGCATTTTATGGCACTGTGGTTAATTAATTTTATTTCTTACTCACTTTTTGCTTTTCCACTACTGAAACAGGGAAACAGTCTCTCCTAAAGGTTCACATGGTTGTATCAACATACCCCATCTGGCCCCAGTATCAGTGCAGTGCAATAGTAAACATGACCATTATGGATCCAGCTGTTAGCAGGAACCTGCTCTTTTGAAGTATATCACAGGCAAACATACAAGTGCATTAGAGGCCACAGATAATCATGCTCTCAGGTTCTGAGCTGATTAGCGTAGTTCCTCTCTAGCAACCTTTTCTTAAGCTACTGAAATGCAGATGCTGTTCTCAGCTTTCAGCTGAGCAGCACTCCAACACGGGTCAGGCTGCTGAGACATTCAGTCCCACTGCTGCCTCTTCTCTCTGTGCTATGGAAACGATCCGGTGCCCAAGTAACTCAAGAACGAACGCTCAACATGAGCCTCTTATAGCACTTACCCCAACATGAGCCTCTTATAGCACTTACCCCAACATGAGCCTCTTATAGCACTTACCCTCCTTGGGCCTGGAGTAATATTTGCCAAAGGCGTTGTCTTTGGGAATATCTGGGTACAGAAATCTCAGTGGATTCTCAGGAATGTTTTCAGCCGCCATCACTTTGTAGTTGCGAATGATATCAGGGAAAGTAACAGCAGAGAGCTCCTTCTTGGTGTATGGTTCCACTGAGTGGAACTGGGGCTCTACAGATGAGAGAAGAAATTACTCTTAGAGTTAGTTTCCAAGTTTCTTCTAGGACTTTGTGGAAAACCTGCAGGTATTTCCAAAAAACACAGGGCTCAGGTGAGCAAAAGGCTTTAAGCTGCGCTACCTTGGCAACCTTCTGTCAGATGACAACATTCAAACTTCACTGCTTATTAGGAGGTTTGATCCTAGAAAGCCACTGAGGAACTCTTATGGGAAAAAAAGAGACATATGAGGCCTTCCTGAAAGTTCTAAACCCTGTCACTTGTTCTTTCTCAGTTTTTGGATGACTTGGGTGTGAGGACAGCAATGAGAAGGAATGAAGAGGTGATTCAAGCATGTACAGTGCTTTCCCTATTCCAGCTGTAAGCAGCCTTGGGCTCATCCAATGAAGTGTCAACATCCAGGCAGGCAGAGTTGATTTAAGCAGAATGATGGGTGAGAGGCCTGGAAGGATTAAGGGAGGTTGTATCTTTTTGCAGCTTCAGGGTTTCCAGGCTTCCCTGAACAAGGGTGAGAAAAAAGTAGTGCAGCTAATTAAGGTATCAAGGAGTTCATCTGTCCATTCCTGGAAACTGGAGGAAGGACAACTGTGAAGAAAATGAGATAAATGAACATGCAGTTCGCTTGGGAAGAACATGAGAATAAAAGAACAGATGGGATGGAGAGGCATATTGCGTGCAAAGTGAAGTGGAGACAGAGAACAGTAGTGCAGAGGACCAAATGCAGCTGTAGTGAACAGTTCCTGGAAGAGGAATCTCTGATGGAGGTGATGTGGGGCTAGATGGAAGGAGATACAGGTTTTTTTGTGTATGTGTACGCATGCGTGCTGCAGATATCTTGCTAAGAGGGAACCTAATTAGGCAGGAAGACAGTGTGTTTGGTCCATGCTTAAGAACCTTTCAGGTCAGATGCTGTATCTGGGAAGTCTCAATAGACCTAGGTGAAAATTAGCACTATTAACTGTAAGGCTTATCAACTATGCCACATGAGGTGTCGATCTGTTTGCGGCCTGCTGTTTGGCAGGGTGGAATTGCTAGGGCGGTGTGTTGCGTTGTCTCACAGTGTGAAAGAGAAATGCATGAAAACTTAGTACTCTAAATGTATACTTCTAAGACAGAAGTGTTCTCTGTTATCAACTTACCATTCTGAGATCCTTCTACCCAGGTAAAGGTGATTGCTCCCTCTCTACTGCTTTCACTGAATCTCAGCAAAAACGTTCCTGGTTTCTGGTCCTTCAACAAAGCGCGTTCTTTGTCCTTACTGATGAAACCCATGATACAGCTGTACATTGGGAGGGGAAAAAAAACGTTGAGTTAAGCTTTCAATATAAAATCTAAGCTGTACTGGTCTAACTAGGGAAACTAAAAAGCTTTTTTCCACTTAAAAGAGCTGACGTATTTATGAAAGCCCCTTGGAAAGCTTTGTCCTGTGTGCAGCTGGGAAGCCAGCAGTGGGATTGACAGGCTGGAGCTGCACGGTGGGATCCATGAATCAGCACTGCTCCCCTCATCGCTCTTCCTTTTGTCTAGGGGCTTATCTAAACATTTATCTAAGCTTGGAATAAAAGAAACTGTCTCTTGCTATCAAAATTAGGCTGTAGAAGCAGAAGTCAAGTTGTGTGTGCTGCTCAGGTCCTAAACAGCAGTTTTAGCTTCAAAAGCACATTAATGATGGTCTTCTGCCTTCCCATCCCTGAGTGTGAAAAAAGTGTTCTCCTAATACTTAGTCATTTGTTCAATGAGTCCCTGAAGTTGTGTTCTGTTCTTGTTAGCTGCTCGTTTTCTGTTTGGAAGTGAAACAAGGCCGTTATTTAAAAGGCTTAGACCAAACTCATCTAGAACTGGGTGGTTATAATTTGAAATCTGCTCTGGAATGCTGCAAGAGCAATTCTGCTGTGTGTCTTGCAGACCTGTGGGATCCCCTGTGATGAGGGAGCTGCTGATAGGATTTCCAAATATGGATAAATACCAACAGACCACTAAAAATGCACAGTTATGAACGTGACTGAACCTGTTCTTGGCAGAAGTTACTTCTGAAATCAGTAGTACTGGAATGCAAGTCTTGATAAAGCAGTATAAAAAGGCAAACGGAACCGACTTTCAATTTCAGACTTACTACTCACTGTTCTATCATTAAAGACTAGCTCCCTGACTCCTATGGTAGGTAAAGTTTGGTGTTTGGCAGCTGCCACCTACCGGAGGATCACTGGTATTGTCTGTGGAAGTCTTTTTTTTGGGGGCTTTTTTTTTTTTTAAACATGGGTGATGACTTTATGAATTACATGTTATTGTACTTTACTCTCGGCTGACAAACACAAAAGAGGCTCTGTCGTGTAGGAAGAATCTACTTGTAGCAGAAGCAGAAGTCAGAAATTAAATGATCAGAGTCCTCCTCTGCAACTTGGACACGTGATGTTTTTGGCTGTCAGGAGCTGTGTCAGTGAAATCTTCCTCACTGCTAGAATTGGTTTGCTTCAGGATTTTCTGGTTACAAGATATACTTGATTCAATTCAAAGTATCAGCACAACCTCACAATGCAACCATGAAGTGAGAGGTTTGAGGCTTGATACTTATTAATTTAATTCAGGTCTCACCCGTCGTTCCAGAGGCACAGGAGGTGCTTCTTAATAAGTTCCAGGATTCCTTCTATCCACAGCCAAAAAGGGAAATTTTTATCATTTATGTTTTCCTGAAATTCAGAGATGGGGAAGCATGAGTGTTAACTGGAGAGGAAGCAAGCTCTTTGAAACAATGCCATCATCTTCCTGTTCTTGCATGTTTCTTCCCTTTCTTCTTCACCCCACCTCTACTTCAAAGGGACACGAGATACTGGAAATGAATCATGTACTGAATCTTAAGGCAAGAGGCAGGGAGAAAGAAAAGACAGCCTGAACCTACAGTACTCACAGGTGTCACTGCTTAACTCTTAGACAACTGTGCTCATTTAAGAATACAGAAAAGGCTCTGGTTCTTGGATGGGCAGAAATATGAAACAGAACAAACAAAAACAAGATCTTAATTTCTTTTCTTAATGGAGTTCATACCTTGCAGAATCTTGTCCAAGGAATAAGGCCATCGTGAGATCCTCCACTTGTTGACCCTGAACAGAACATATCAACTTCAGTCACAATCTGTACATTGCTGACAGGAAATGACTTATAGCAGCAAATCCTGAGTGCTAACCTAAAACTCTGAGGTGGTGGGTTAAGAAGGAAAATGAAAGGAAGGCTGCTGTATTTTATAGGCTAGCACAGGGAGCACTTGTAAATTCCCATCTGAAATTCACTGCATGAGAATGCATTTAAGCAGGCCACAGATTACAACACAAGCTTTGCCTAACGGGAGCCAATTAATTCTGACACTCTGTACACTGTGCTACACTTGATATTTATCAGTTGATCTCCTCATGGGAGCATCTTGAAAATAAATTACACATCTCTTCTACAGCAGAGCAAGTAAACAGCAAGCCAGAAGCTTTTTTGGTAGGAGCTCAGCAGACTCTGCAACATCTTTAAGAATTTTCCTGATAGAATGGTTTGGCTTGGAAGAGACCTTTAACATAATGTAGCTCCAACCCCCTGCTATAGGCAGGGACACCTCCCTCTAGACCAAGTTGCTTACTTGTAAACTCGTAGGCTTTAGACTCAGAAAATGACTCCTAGGTCTGTCCTAACTATTCTCTTCTTGTTCCTGTTGCAATCGTTTCCCCTCCTTATTTTAATGGTGTGTTTCATAATTGCATCAAAACTGCAAAGAAACCCCTGTGCTGTGATCACAGTATCTAGAGCTTTGCAGCTCTGCAGACAGTGAATGTATTTGGGCCTGATTCTTTCCATTACAGGCTATATACTATGCATCTGGAATATATTTTTAAAATAACTACTTCTAGGTGCAGAAATGAGATTTAAATACCATCCTTACTGAATGCTTTCTGAAACTTCAGTATTGGGAAACTACCAAATCAAGTATTTTTATTCTGAGTTTCCCCATGCAAACTCAGTAGCTGTGACAGATGCCCAGCCTATCAGGCAAACTGACACGTAGTTCAGAAAACAAAACCCATGGCTGATCAGACTCTTAGTAAGGATGCTGGTTTTGGAGAATCTTAATTTGATGTGCTTCAACAGTTCCATAGCTTGTGTGCTTCAGTATCGCAACTACATGTTGGCAGACAGAGGAAGCATTCCTTGCTGGGGGGCATATGGTAAGTTAAAGCTACTAGAGATATAACACTAGTTAAAGCATGTTTAGTAGTTATTCAAAAGGCAGAAGTAGCTCTAATTAGTGCTGCCCTGGCATACAAAACTCCAAGGGTAGGACTACAGGTTTCTCATCGCTGACCTTCTTTTGCAAACTCTTTCTGTATTGAAAACTGCAAAACACTGCATTGCTACAGTGCTATATATGCACACTATATTGCTACAGTGTGATATTGCATAATGGGAAAAGGAGTGACAAGATGCAAAAACTTAAAATATATTGTAGAAAACGCATAGAACTTGCTTCAGTTCAAACAGGCCACCTGCTTGTTCAGCTGAACCAAAAAGCTTAGTGATGGAAGCAGATCGTACCAAGTAGTTTCTCTCCCAGCATGTTCAGTTGATCTGTGTTAAGTCCTCTTTTTGTCACGGAAGAGAACTGCCAGCTCAGAACTTCAGAAAGTTTAGACCACTTTGCACAAGGGGGGTTTAGAAAGAAGGACAAATTCTAGAACAGAATGGAAAAATACAATGTACAGTCAGTAAGCATAAATTCAAGCTCTACTCCAGCTTGAATGCTTGAAAACTACACTTTGGATACTGTGCAGACTACCCCTATGTGCAAGAAGGGAAGAAGTGTTTCTGTTTTGCCCGTACCTTGGGATCAGTAGACAGCATGTTGAACCATAAGATAGAAGCCCATCCACTTGGAAGCTGGCTCACATTAGAGATGACAATGATGGGAAGCGACGTGGTCTGGAAGGGATGTGTAAGAAACATGTCAGAGTGTTCTGTATCTCTGCTGCAGTCCTTCACTAGATGACTCACAAACCTGTTTCCATTCCAACTCCCTGCTTGTATTGCCTTATCTCTTTCATTGAAAACGTACATGCAGGGGAGAGAAATTCAGTATGATATACTAGAAAGAGTTGGGTGATTCTGTCAAATAGAGGCATGACACAGAGGAAGTTAATTCCATTTCTTCCATTTAAGTCTTACCTCTAGATCTATTACTAAGCCAGGCTGGCACAGCTGTGTCTCAAAACTCAGAGAGTGAAGTTCTTCTGTTACAATAAGAGGACCCTTTGAAGATGAAGGAAAAGAATATATATATCAAAATCTTTGGATTTTCTATAGGGGAAACCTCTTTCCCAAGGTTAGTGGCTCTGGGATGCTCCTTGACTGGACTTAAGAAACGGTTTACAGGCCCCAGTCAACTGATGACACTGATTTCCTTGAACTTTGAGTTAGGATGGTTCAGAGATTCAACATCTCTATTTTGGCTGCTACCCATAAGCCACAGAAAAATCTGCAATTACTGGGAAGCCCTGTTAAAATTAGTGCCAATGAGGGAGAGTCCAGAGGGACGCCATTCTGGCAGTAGCTCTCATATGCAAGCATCTCCCACACAGATCACTTCCCACAAGTGCTGAACTCTACTGGTTGTGAGACTCCCCTGTGTTTTTTAATGGGGTTGAATGGAGCATTGTCTTAAATGTCTGAATGTTCTTTTGGCTTTGTGAACGAGGTCACTGTTGCATACCTCATTTGTTCTGTTTCCTGCGTTCTTCTGTTCTTTCAGTTGCTGCAAAAAACAACAGTAAAAATCTGTCACTCACTTATTTTAACCAGTAGCATACACAAACATTTGCGTGCTGTAGTTCCTTAACAGTATGTAAACTTGCTGCACTAGTGCCTGGTTCTACTTGGTACCAGTCTTTTATTAAGTATTCATTTGTGAAAATATCATCTGCACCATTAGGATGCAATGCCTTTTATATAAGAGACTTGATAGGAACAGAAGCAGAATGAAATCAGGAAGGATGAGATGAAATACTGGTTTATTCAACAAAACCTCAGAATTTATTGTCCAGTTCAGGAAACTGGTAGTGTTTCTTCCAGATAACAAAGAGACTTCCACATTAACTGGTTTAGGACTTGAGTATCAAGTATTTTTTTTTCCTTTCCTGTTGCAATGACAGAAGCAATCTAATTCACTTGTCACACTCTGTAAATCCAGTGTTGTATAGTCTAAAAACACTGAATTTCTTGTTGAAAAGGAATTGCTTAGTTTTCTTGTTCCAGTCTCAAAGATCTTTAAAATACTCCGTGCTCTCCTTTCTCTGGGTTTTCCTCAGAAAAAGCAAAAATGCTATGGCTTCTCCTCCAACCAACTCCTTGCAGCATAAACCATATGGCAGCAAAGAATTTTTTGCCTGTCTGGCCTTATTTCAATGACAAAAGCAATAGCATTTCAATTAAAAACAGGCCTAAGATCTTGAAAAGGGAAGACAATGTTAATTAATGGTTCCTCTTTTACACAAGTAAACAATGACAAGTAAGCAAACTGCCAGCTTCCTCCCACACCCTCTGCTCACACAATTAAATGTGTAAAGAAAGTCTCCTACCAAATGCCTGAATTCTGCTGCTAAACTTCCATTAGTAGATTCTTCCATGTTCATTACTTTCGTGTTTGTTCCTAGAATATTAAATTTCCTGAATCTACAGAGAGAGAGAGAAAAGAATTAGGGGGCTGAAATCATTTTAAGAGCCCAACTTCGATATATGTGTGAAGCCACTTACCCTTTGACTGAGTTCTTTTCATTTACGTCTCTGTCAAAAAAGAAAAATTAAAAACCTTCTAAATATTCCGTATATGGAAGATCTGGTTGTTCTAATAGTTGATTAAGGACTGGTAAAAATGCTTGTGTGGAATCTCTTGTGTAAGAGAAGCAATTGGTTTGAGCAGTCAAAAGAAGCACTGCCTTGTAGAAGGAAAGGAATGCAACATACTTATCAAATAACACTTTCACTTTCAGGTTGTAGTTCAATTCCTGCAATTTCACCAGCAATCTGGGGGGGAAAAAAGAAATAAAATGACTACCACTGCAAAAGATAGCAGCACTAAAGAGGAAAAGCTTATCACAGATATATTTAAGCTGCAGAGCTCAAAATCATGTACTGGCCCCAAGCTTGCTCTGTATTAGCTAATGAAGATGAAGTGAAAGGATAAATCTGCAGTGTCTGTACAGCTGATCCCAGCCCCTGATTTAGAGATAAAAATAGATTGGCAAGTGAGTTATTCATGATCAAATGGTCTGCATGTACCTGACCTACTACTGGCTGGTTGTTTCTCAGACACTCAATCATCACCACACCTAGTCAAAGGTAAAAACTGGAAGTTACATGTGTTAGCAGACAGACTGCTGCCGTGTTGCACTACCTTGTCCCCTTGAGCTCATCACTTGGGCTACCTGTAAGGTGTGCAATCATCCCAGCTGTAGGAAGCCGATCAAATGAAAGGCTTAACACAAAAGAAGGAGAAACAGAAAACGTACCTCAGCTTCACAGTGAACTGTACTCCTGTCTTCAGGACTAATGGCCTCTGTGGATGTGTTGGCATGCAAGGCTGCCTCTCTACCACAAAGGAGCTATGAAAAGAACAGATTAATGCCTTGATTTGTTGATGTATTCTTTAAGTAACATGAAGTTACATACGGAAAGAACTTGAAAAGAATGGGGATTTACCAGTAATACTGCATGCTTTATCTATTAATTCAGGCTGTGCGTGGGTTTCTTTGCTTGCTTCAGTGGGGTTAAAGACTTCATAACTTAAAGACTTCATAACTTAAAGACTTCATAAGGTGTCTGTTTTCCTAAATACATGCACTGTCTGGGGAGGACAGGATACCATCTCCAAATTCCCCGAAGTCAAACAGTGTGTAAATATGGAGGTAACTTGTGTAATTCAGGTGAGGAGTTTTGCTTCACTTGCACTCCTCAGCTTGTGTTACAGCACTGTAACACGCACCCAAGAGCTAGATCAACTAGACTGGGAATTCAGCAAGGGCTAGCTAACCCCACAGAGCAAACTCCTCAGGCAAACCTGTTCTAATGCACTCCAAACTGTTCCTATCACGGGTGCTGTTTGTGCAGCTCTGCGCTGTACAGACAGGTATATTGTATTTGCACGTCTTGGGCATCTTAGCAAGTTGAGACACTTCCCTCCACTTGCACATAAGAAAACTAGACTAATACAGCCCTTCCTTGTTGACCTTCACTAGGCTGAAGAATAATACCTATATTCTCTAACTGTAGACTAGTGGTTAAGGCACGTGAACGGGTCTTTGTCTCCTTACAGGGGGTTACATACTGCATCAAAGCCTCTGCTCTGTATCTGCTAGTCTCAAATCTTCTGCAGCACAAGCTATTGTCAACTATATGTTTAAAGAATGAGACTGTGAAGCTACATGTAGCATGTACTAGCTACAGTAACTTGTGTCATAGAGGTGGGACACAGGCAGGGCTGCTCTCCCTTGTCTCTTCCTGGAGACAAGGGAGATGCAGCCAGAGCCAAAAGGAGGGACAATCTGGTGTGTATTTATATTGGGCATAGCTTGGTGTGGGTTTCCTGCATCCATTTACTTGAGCTGGTTTGCAGGGTTGAAGTTGAAAGCAAGAAATGGACTACTGGACTAGAGTTTAATTCTGTAATCAATACATGTTGTAGCAAAGGCCCTGCTGACTGAAATGATGGCAGACCACAAACCCTTTCCACAAGCCTAAACCTCTGGAAAAAAAACAAAAAAGGAGAGAATCTTGAAAATAGTCAATTAATGTTTGTGACAAACTCAGGAAAACCTCAGAAAATGCAAGTCAGCGTGCATGAAACACTGAGCAAACAGAAGGGAAGACTCCAGATCCATTCACTCACACAATCACTAGAAGGCTTTTCTAGCCCGTTACCTCTGGATAAGCTGTTTGAAAAGACTGTGCGTTCGGTCCTGCAAGACTTGTTTGTTTTTTGTGATGGGGTCAGGGTCGTAAGTAAGTTTCTGCTCCAGTTCCTCAAGCTTTTTGAGCTGCTGACGAACTTGCTGCAGGCTTTCAGCAATAATGGTGAACCTACAATTAGATAGTCCTGTTATTTTTAGCACGTTTTCACTGTATTAATGCTGAGACAGCAGCAAGGTAACTGTCCCTAAGGTCTGCAGGGTTAGCACTGCTTGCTCATTGGAGATGTGACAGTAACATCACTGACCTTTAGTTGAGCTGTGACACAATTAAAACAAAATCAGCACATGTGGCATATCTGACAGGTCTGGTCTGTCATACTTTGAGTGCCTGACCAACACAATCCTTGACTGCAAGCTTACCAGTTCTGTAGCTGGTCAAGACAGGCGTTGGGTGGGCCACCAATGCATGCAGTCTGTTGCCTCCGTTTCCACTCCACCAGCTCCTCCTTAATAAGAGCACTCTGTGTGTGCTCTGTGGTGTTCAATAGCTGTATTATCTTGGCCACCACTTCCTAAAGAAATATTGAAGTGACCTGTTTATTAAAAATACTTCAGCTAAATCAAGTTATTTTTTCTGTATAACGCTGTGCCTTGCAAAACTTTGCAATGACTTCTAAGTAATAGTTTCTTTCTATCAGTACAGCAGTTCTTCCAACCCACCTACCTCTTCTTAGTTGGAGCATTAGCTAGGCTAAGTGGAGAAACAACATATATTTAGTACCACTGACCTCTAAAGAGTTGCATTCCATCTACGTACCTCCCAAGTGTATAGTGTAGTGTTTGCTGGAAATTTGAGCACTGCAATGAGTAAATCTGCTTAACTGAAATACAGCTGCAAGCTCTTTGATTGCTCCTTTTCCCCCTTAAAAACATGACTATTGCTACTACATTTTCCTGGTGTTCTCTGAGCTATACCTGATGGAGTTTGGTAAAGGCAGCTAGAAGAGAAATATTACTGCTCAGCAATATTGTAGATTTCCATTAAGGATGGAAAGAACAAAATGTTACTCCGTATGTGACCAGAGTCTTTTGTTTTTGAATAGGAATGACATGTCATTCCAGTGAAAGTGTTCAAAACCAAGTGCTGCTGTCTTCTGAAAGAAAACTAAGGTGTTACCTTTCTCTTGATGTCAAGTAAGAGAAACATCTTTTGGAGATTCATCTGTTCTTTCTTACATTCCTCTTGTGATGCACCATTGGGCTCATACTCTGTAAAATAAGTCCAAATTGCAAATCTGAGGAAAACTGCAGCAGCATGATCTTGTGAGTTCAGGAAAGAAGGGGTAAGGAAAACTCAGGCTGATAGCTCCCATGCAGTGTTCCCTAACTACCACTTCAGCTGCCCAATGACCTTAAGTTAGAAGCACCCATGTGCCTTATGGAAACGCTGCCTGCCATGAAGTACAAAGAGCAAGAATGGGGCTCGATGCTCCCTTTCCCAACCAGAAACCTCTTGTGAGGGCTAATCAACTGTAAATTTGTGTTGGAAAATAAAGCTTTTTTTGAAACAAAATGGTGGGGAGGGGCGAGAGAAAGAGCCATATATATTTACAAAATGAACCCAGTGTAGTTAGAGTCTGTATGGTCTGCTGTTTCTAGAAGCAAATGGATGTAAAGGACAAAAGAACACTGCATTAGCAAAAAAAGCTCTTGTAAGAACAGACAAAGAAAATCTATTTTGGGGAATTCAGGTTTCAGCATAAAGCAGAAGTAATGGAGGAGAGATGTGATGAGTAGGTTTGCATATAAAATTTAGTTTCCTGAGATAAGAATAAACTCTGCTATCTTATGAACTGCACCCAACAAGGTATGTCCTCAGTAAATTACCTCTATTCTGGAAGGTTTTATGTTTAAAGTCATATTCGTCTTGCACATCCTCTAGTGTCTTGATGTCTTGTTCTACATCCTATAAAGCACGAATGAAGACGGAACAATTACTGAATTTCACATTATGCAAGACTGTGTCTGACCAGGATCTGCCAACAAACTGTCAACAAGCACTTACACTGATGAATGTCTTTTCCTGGAATTCCCTAAGAGGAAATATTTCTAAAGTTAACCACTATCTAGTTACCTTCCCTCTCTCATTTCAGCAAACAAAAATCTGTCCATAATAAAACACAAAGCCCTCAGTGCCTGGCCATACCAGCTGAGAGAACTTAGAAGAACCTAGGCTGCCATCTGGGACAGCATATGGCATCTTCAACTTTTTACAAACTCTTGAGAATTGCATGAAAAAAGCTTACTCTTGGGACTGTATTTATTAACTATACTAACAGGAGAAAAAAAATCTCTATATTCAAGTAAACAAAGAAATGTCAATTTATGATCTTTCCTTGGTTGCATAGTATTCCATATAGGTGACATGTTTTTATTGCTAAAATTTAAGCACAAGAAATTTGATATTGCCACAATAGCCAAATCCCAATCCGTACTGCAGTGCCACTGACAAATACTGATTTGCTATGTATCAGTGACTGATCACAGAGTAGAAAACAAAACAGTTGCCTAATTTATGCTCGTTGTTTTAAAGAATACTTCACACGCTGAAAACTCTTTAACATTTATGATTCAATAAGAACTACTTCAAATACAGCTGGCATCATGCTATACTTACTGTAACACTGTTTTTTACAGCCTTAACTTTTGCATCAAGCTCCTTCTGTTTGTCCAGCATCCCAGTCATGGTGTTCTGTACACCTCCCACTTCCATCTGAGGTAGGCAAGCAGAACAAAATCAGAAGTCAAACAAGACTGAACTAACTAACAGCAAATGCTTCTTAATTAATGTCAGTTGGTGGCTTTTGTTGACAAACAGCCTAGCTGTGGTATTACTTGTTCTGATAAATCATAGTACTTTTTTATAAAAGTGACTTTGTGAAGAAAAAGGGTGAAGAAATGTCTTTCATGCGGAGATGTTGCATGTTTTGTCTTAGCAATAAAAAGCTATAAAAATTCTCTGCACAAATTCTTTTTGTTATATTTGCTTATCTTCATGCATTTTCCAAATAAATTCCAGGAAAACAGCAACGCTGAAGCCTGGATCACATCTCCTTTAAATGTCGGATTTCATCCACTTGAGCTCTGGGGACAAAAGCGAGAGGCACAAGAACAAGAGAGGCTGGCATACAGGGTAATGCAGTGTGCAGTTTATTTCCTACAGGGCATTAAAGCAAACTTCAGATCTCTCAGCACTGAAGCTCATACTGTGACTTCTCTCAGGGAGAGTTCCAGTAGTTTCAAAGACAGGATTTTTGTTCCACATGTAACTACTATAAGTGTTAGAAACTTAGTTTTGCCAATGCAGGCAACTTACAAACTGGTAAAGGTTCCCAACATAAGCTGAAATGGAACCATGATGGCAATCTGAGTACTGTCTAACAGGAGTGTCTCTCTTTATGGTGCTTATAAGTTCACTTCTTCTGGGAAATAAGAACCTTTACAAGAAATCAGAGGGTAGGCTATGGTGTTTCATGTAGTGCCAACGATATGTGGAAGAAGATTTATTTCCTTTTTTAAAATGATTATTAATAGAAACATATGGAATACCGAAAAGGAAGTTTTGGGTGCTTCATTTCATAAGTCAGCACAGAAACTGCCAGCTGCACTGCAGCTCTGAGGAAAGTATCTGGGAACGGCTTTGCCAAGGTTGCATACTTAAGAGAGCTATTTCAGACACAGCTGCATTAGGATGATTGTTGAAAGCCTATGCTCCAATGCTCTTAGTTCCCTCTATAACACTATCAAAAATTTGCTGTAAAGGGAAGAATTTCTGTCTCAGAACAGGCTGTGCTCAGACAGTTATCGCTTTATTTCATTAGTAGATTGGACGTAGTACACGGCTTTCTTAACTGTGGATTTTTTTTATTGCAACACAGTTCTTGGAAAGGAAAACCCAGACAGATGCACTGCCAAAGAACTGATGAGGAGAAGAATATACTTTGCCTATGGTTCAGCGGTTCAGTTTCAAATAGATACATAAATATTGAGTGTAGCTGGGAAGGAAGAATAGCACTGCTTTGCGAGACAGTCCAGAGACCCACTAAAGCTCAGCTGCTCAATAAAGAGTGAATCAGGAATAAAAAGGAGAAGGAAGAAAGCTGAAACCTTGTTGGAGAAATAAGGCAAATGCTGTTTATTAAAATGTAATAAAATCTGATGAGCACCTTAGGCTATAGTAAGAATTAAAACCAGTTGTTCACATCACTCAAAGAATCAAAATTACTTCCTGGCCCTTTCCACCTCTGAATAGCTCATTCTACTCAAACCAGCTGGTATCCCAAGTAAAGGGCAGACACAACTGCAGTGGACGTTTCAAAACTGACTTACCTGATTAGACAATTGTGCACTGTTCAATATTTTCCTCTCCTCTTTCAGACAGTTATGGATGATCATTGCCATGTGTATGGGGTCTTCTTGGAAGTTATCCTGGCATTAAATATGGGCTATTGTTAAATTTTATATGTGTAATCTCTTATATTTCATTCAATCAATTCACAAGAATAACACGTGTCTGGTTAAGCCTGAGTTGTATCTTGTTTCGAGACCACAAGGACTGCAACCACCTCTAAGAAGTAGTTTCTGCGCCTGCTGTTTTAGTTTTGTTAGGGTACAGAGAGTTGATGGGACTTGTCACACAACAACGAGAGAGGGCTGGAGATGTTACTGGAAGAAGGTAGAGAGCACACTATAGTCCTGGAGACAGTTTGTCCTCCCTCGAGAGCCACATTTCCACGCCTTGGAGGTATAGTTTCTAGCTTTACAGGTACAGCTCTTGCTCAGGAAAATAAAGGAGGGATGTTGGCTGCCACTTGGGAATGCATAGACAAGGGAAGTAATGAAGTTCACAAATACATTCTGCAGTGCCATCCACTACCCAGTATAATATGATGTACAGATTCCTTGCTATTTATTGTGATTCTGTAGCTATATGTAATGATTTATTCTCCTGTGTTCCTTCTGCATCAGAGACTTCTCAAGACACTGAAGAAACTGCTTGGGGAAGGAATGGGGCAAGCAAAACTGCATTCCTGTAGGTACTCCAAATACACGCAGTAAACACCTTACAAACCACAACTTCTGTTTCTTGAGTTCTCAGAAACCGTAACTGTACTGTTAATGAAACTAACTTTGTAACTGTGGCCAACTAAAAACAAAAATAAAAATGGAGTAATGTTTGATTTCTGACTTTTAAAATTAGGGTACTCAAATGCTCTCTGGAAAATCCCTCATGGCAGAATATTCTGCTTAGAGTCATCCAACTGCAGTACTGGAGGTATTTAAACATAGGTCAGGGCATACCTGAAGATTACGTTTGCTTTTCCTTATATTGTGTTGCAGCAAAAAGTTGTTTTCTATCAAAAATCGGCTAAATTGATCATCAAGCTGTGACAGCAGGTCATGGAATAGCACCGTAGCAAAAGATACATTGGTGGCTGCATGTTCCCTAGAATAAATTCAAAGTATGCTTGTGTTAAATACTTTCAAGCAGCATCCAAAATGCACTACAGAGAACGTTTTATTAATCCCCAGCTCCAGTTGTAATACACGTGAGCAGGAAGAGCTGCTTTCAAACATGTTAGGCTCATTCGCTCACCTTCTGCTTCGCATTCCTTGATAGAAAACTGTTGCTATTCCTCTGTGCCACTCTTGCCACATTTTGTGTGACATTATTGACCCATTCCATGCACATTAGGAAGCTGGAAGTGACTGTGATGCATGTGCACACTGTACAGTGCTAAACATACAACGTACATTTCCATAGAAATTTTGGAAAACAGTTCCACGTTGATGAATGGTGAGAGCCTGGGGTTCCAGGGAAACTGACTGCCTTAAAATAGCTGCTTTTGTTTGACATTAACTGAGGTAACAGTAAATGGTGTACTTGTTACTCTAGATGTAGGTTCCCCTATGCAGACTAGATTCCCACCCCTTCTCAAGACGATTAGCTACACAGCTAAAAAATGTTCTACCAGCAAAGGTGTCCTTATGTCTCCAGCAGCTTGCTTCCCCGCTACTTTTCTGCCATGTTAATCCATGTACCAGAATGTTTATTATCACACAACCCAGATGTCAGTTTTATGCTTACCAATCCTGGTTTTCCAGCCACTGTGCCAGATACTGCCTGATTTCCATAGGAAAGCTGTCATCGTACAGCTGGTGAACTTGCTCCAAAAACTTGGAGTCAAGTTGCTGTAGCTGGTACCACTGAGTCATCCTGGGAAGTGGGGAATAAAAGCAGTGTAAATGTAAATGCTTAAGTTAACATTAGAGCTGACCTAGTGAAAAATCACCCATTCTAAGTTTTCATTAAAATGGCAAAATTGGAGGTCAGGGTAAAATTGAAGGAAAAGTGTTCTAGCAAACAGAAGCATGTTCTGTTTTTAGATGAAATGGAACAAACTAACAACTGAAACATCATTCAACTTCTTCTGTACTGTTTTTAATTATAAAAACTGAAAATTAAGACCGTCTTTATGCTGGTTGCATCGACAGAAGTCAGTCAAAATTTAAACCACTCTTCCCTATGAAAAGTTGCATTTCTTTTCCTCTCTGAACACAGAATTTTCACAGCACTGAAAGTATCAGCACTGCTACGAGTTGTAGGGGAGATGTTAAGTCAGGGCTTGAAGTGGTGATGGAGCACCTGGAGAAGGGCAGTTGGTGCCCACGGAGCACAGATTGTTTTCACCTGTGATTCACAGCTGACCAGAAGGGGTGGGCTGCGAGGGGAGCCACCCATAGCTCATATAAAGGCCAGCCACTGAAGGGAGAGCATCTCTTGGACCTGGCTTGCTTCCTGGGGAGTGCTGTATTGCCAGAGAACCCTTCACCAGGTGGGTGAGTCTGACTCTTCTTCCTATATGACTTGGCTTACCTGTGAGCGCTTTGCTTGGTATTGTTGAGAACCTGTCAGAACCAGCTTTGCTTCTTTATATTCAGTCTAAGTCTCCCCTCTTTCAGTTTGACGCCTTTCCCTTCGTCCTGTCACAACAGACCCTGCTAAAAACCATGTCCCGTTCCTTCTCACAGCCTGCCGGGCTGCTCTCAGGTCCCCCCGGAGCCTTGTCCCACCCTCCCTAGGTCGTACTTTGCTTCTAACTCCTAGACTTCAGGCTAAGGCAGCACTCTGTGCAGCAGACGCAGGTTGCCTAAAGTTGAGGAACAGACAAAAGCCGTGCTGCGCAGTGACCGCCATCACAGCGCGGCAGCACACGGCCAGTCCAAGGGTCACAGTTGACCCTGAGGGGCAGTAAGATACGAGCCTGCCCGCGCCTTGTCACCGCCCATCCCCGCGCTGCCCGCACTCACCCGCTGGAACAGGCTGCCCCGGCACTCCGCTGGCGCCCCTTGCCTGCGCCCAGAAATACCCGCACGGACGCGGCCATGGGGACTCGCCGCGGGGCCAATGGGAGCCCGGCCCACGCCGCCTGGACCAATGGGCGCACGCGGCGCTGCCAGGCGCCCCGCCCCCCGCCCTTTTCCTTCCGATGAGGGTCGCGAGCTGTGCTGTTTCTGGAGCCGTGCGCGCGGGTCTCAGGCGTTAGGGAAAGGCTGTGCGGCCTGTGGCTCTAAGGAGATAGGGGAGCAGCGTGACAGTGCGTGCCAGAACGCGGGGTGTTCGAGAAGCAGCGTGTAACGAAATAGGATATGCGAGATACAAGCGAGGCAGGGCCGCTGTTCTCCCAGTCCCGGGCTGGCCCTGCTTGCTCGGCTCCCTCAGCGCTGCCGCCCCGTTCCTGCCCGGCCCTGCGGGACGCGGAGCGGCACAGTGCGCAGGCGCGGTGGCGGCTCTCGTTAGAAAGCGCTGCACCACGTGACTTCGGGGAAATGCTCCCGGTGCCCAGAAAGGGCCCGGTGGCGGGAAGGCGAAACCGAAAGCTTTGGCGCTGTCCCCGCCCCGCCAAATCCGTGTCCGAATTGCGGGCGGTGAAACCTTCCCACGGAGCCAGGGTTGGAAGAAGCACTGTGTTCAGCTAGGACAACCGTCAGCTCGTCACCATTGTGCCTCTTAAACGTGTCCCTCAGTTCCACGACTCCACAGCTCTTGAGCACCTCCAAAACTGAACCTGAGCTCAGCACAGAGGGATGCTCACCTCCCTGCCCCTCCTGGTTGTGCCATCTTTGATACAAACCAGGATGCCATCGACCTTTTTGGCAAAACACTGCTGGCTTGTGTTCACCTGGTTGTCCATTAACACCCCAAGATCCTATTCCTCCATGGAGCCTTCTAGCTGCTCTGCCCCAAGCCTTTAGCACTGCTTAGTGTTTGCAACTGAAATGCAGGATTTTAGCATTTAGGCTTGTTAAAACTCATTGGCTCAGCCCAGCAATCCAACCTATCCAGATCCCTCTGTAGGGCCTTCCTCAAGCAGATCAAGACTTCCTCCCAGCTTAGTGCTACCTGTGAACTTATGAGGATGCCCTAATACCAACCAGCCAAGGAATACAACTTGTGACTGCTGGTCACCAGCTAGACTTAACCCCATCCACCACTGCTCCGTGGGCCCAGTCCTCCAGTCAGGTTTGATCCAGTGAAGAGTACTCCTGTCCAGGCCGCAGGTTGGTAGCTCCTCCAGGAGAATGCTGTGGGAGACAGTCTGCCTGGGCTTCATAAAGCCTTTGACACTATGTCAACTGCCTTTCCCTCCACCACCAGCTGTGTCACTCAATCGTAAGAGGAGATGAGGCTGCTCAGGCAGGATCTGCCTGCTGTGAACCCATGCTGGAGCCTGCTCTGATCCTCTGGTTATCCCACACAGGTGAAGTGATTCCACTTAATATGATCTCATCTATGGCTTTTCCCAGTTCTGAGGTCAGGCCGACATGCCTGTAGTTTTCTGGATCCTTTTTCTGACCTTCTTGTAGATAGGAATCATGGTGGCAAGTGTTTACAGTGAAGAAACCTCAGGGTGTTGAGCCCCTGCTGCGCAAGCTGCAGCATCACAGGTGGGGTAGGAGTCCTGGCTGGGCCATGGAGAGCAAGGCGGGCATGGAAATCCCCAAGGGTGGCCTTTGCCTCTGCTTCCTGTGCTGTCTGTGTACAAGGAATACCCTGAAAGATTGTACAACCATATCTCTGGCTGTTAATTTATGAACTATAACCCAGATTTCTATCCAACGCAGAAACTTGCAGGGCTGCTTACAAGCGGCAGGCAGTTGAGTATTTTAATTGTTCCTGGTGTTTGGCCAGCTGAGTTTTCATCCCAGTAAATATCTTGTGATGTAGAGGTTTCATCTTGATTGGAACCGACTTGTTAGGACATGCAGGGTCTTGTTTATTCCCATCTGCTGTGTGAACGGTCAGTAAAGTATATAAACTTAATGGGGGATGTTTGGGTCCTTTTTGGTTTAGTTTGTATCTCCCACTCTCCTCAAACAGAAGAAACTTCTTAGCTGATGGAAGATATGTGTAAATAAAAGGTCTGCTGGTAAGCTTTTTGTTTGGAAGCCCTGAGTACTGGTATGAATGTGAGTGCTTTATAAATAAAGCCAATAGGAAAATGGTAATAAATTTTTAGATTTAATTTGAAACCTTATGGTAGGGCAGGATGCAAAGCACAGCACAGTTCTGTTGGGTTCTTTTCCCGTTATTTTTGACTTTGCAGCTGCAAAACCCAGTGAAAGCACAAGTGCTGTTAGTGAAAGTACTGGAGAGTAAATGTCATCTCTTTTAGCAGTGCCTGACAGTGTCCCTTTTGAAGTGCTTTTCTCTTTCTTCACGTTTTAGTTCCTTCCTCTGAGCCCTTGTCTTATAAAAGGACAGATTGTGTGTGTGTGTGTAAGAAGACTTGATCAGTATATGTTTATTTTAAAGAAAATAACTTTTGGCTCTTCAAAGTAGCAAACAGAGCTGAAATAGTGTGCCTTCCAATTAGACCAACAAAGAAAACTAATACCAGAACCTGATCCGCAATCCTATTCAGCCACTTGAGAAATAATTGAATTGTGCAAGGAGCAGAAAGGAAAGGAAGGAAGAGTGATTCAAATGCTGTCTGCACCTTTTTTTTTTTTTATTATTATTATTATTTTAAACTGCATTTTTCATGACCTGTAGATGGGCAGAATCCATCTCATTAAGATGGCGAAAACAGGTCAAAAGAAAAAAGGATACAGCCTGAGGTGAAGTTTACTTTGTTGCTGTTGAAGTCTTGTGGTGCTGTGGTTTGGACTTGCGCTCAACTGGAAGAAGTGGTCTTGAAGGTCTTTTCCAACATACACGATAGGTGATGCAGGTCTATATTTTTATCTTGGAGAATTAGGCAGAAATCCAGGTGTCCAACTTGAAGCCAAAAACTCTTTTTATTCGTACTGGTCATATAAATTACAGTTGTTTTTAGACATATATACACAGTAGTCATTGTTTATGGGAAAATAATTTCTATGAGATGCTTTGCAAGAAGAAATATGATTCTGCAGCTAGCTTGGAATCACTGAAACTGATCAACTACAGAGATGTTTGGTCATTCAATATCTAGTCTGATATTTCAGCAATGCCCAAAAAGAATTTCTTTCCATTCTAACAGAGATGTTGCTTGCTAACGTCAATGGTATGGGTGGGTGGGGGGGGGGGGGGGGGTAAAGAAGAGAAATGAAACTGAAATCTAGGTCTGACTGATGCAAGGGGATTGTTTTCATCCCAAGTGTCTGTATTATTTGCACTTGAGCATCTGCAGCTCATTTTACTGATGTTTGTGTGTTCTAAGAACTTTGTATGCATTAGCCATGTATTTTGCACACGAGTTAAATCTGAATGAGGCTGCACGTGTGGAAGACAACGGCCCTGGAACGGCCGTTTTATTATTCTATTAACAGAATGTTGAGGGATAATACTGGGAAAAACAAACAGATGAACCAACATTAATCTATGCTAAAATAAGCATAAGGAAATGTTTTTCAAAGGCAGTGTAAAACCAGTTATCCTGCTCTTCAAATGAGACTCTGACAGGCGTGTAACATTGTTATGTATCACCGATTGGCCTGTGGATAGAAAATGCTGTAGCTCTTGGGTAACTGTTTTCTGAAACTGTTCTTCCTAGCCTGCATGTACCAGATAGTATCCCAGCTTTTCCTAGTGTTGCCTTCCTCTCTCTCAGAACTTCTGCTGTGGTGACAGTCTTTGCTCGAGGTGGTTCATCTCAAGGAAAAAATAAGCCCTGGATGTAACTGAATTTGGAGGGTGAGAATCTTCACTTTAAAATAGAAGCTAAACTGAGGGTATATAAAGAGATGATTAAGCGAATGTAATATAAACTGATTTCCTCAAGTACCTTAAAGTCTTTTGTTGTCCTTATATGCTGTTATCAGAAGAAGAAAAAAAAAAAAAAAAAAATCTGTTCTTATACTGTTTTATTTACAATTCTAAGATCAGTAATTCCGCAGGTAGAAACTCAGACATACTGGACCCCACTGGAATCAAATGACCTGTGAGTGGGAATGGATTTGGCCTTTTATCAGTGTAGGTAGCAGTCTCAGGTGGCTATGTGTAACCTCTAGGAAGAAAATGTCTGTTTTACGTGGAACTGAGAACAGGAGGAGGCCCAACAATAGCATCATAATGGTTTCCAGGAAATAGTGATTTACAGTGATGGCAGAGAAGATATTTATTATGCTTCTAACCCATGCAGTGTCCACGCGATTGCTTATTTTTCCAATATGTGAACTTCAGTCAGTTGAGTAAGGAGAACTCAGCTAGAAGGAAAAAAGAGAACATCAGTCTCAGGGCAGTTACTGCTGCTCGTTCAAGAGGAGTTGCACATCAAACCTCAATGTAGCTGTAGTATCATCTTGACAGCTCTTAAGACTCTAAAGATATCTTTTCTAGCTCTTTACAAGATCTAGTAATTCTCCTTGGAAAACAGCATAGTAAAAGTTCTCAAGAAAAATTGTGTATCTTTTTTATCAACTTCTGTGCTTCTTGTAACCTATGGATTTGGACAGAAAGTCTCTTAGTGGAATCTTGCTTTTGCAGTGAGCAGAGGAATGGATAAGAGTTCAGCAAGGCTGCTAAGGCTGTTACTGAGTAGGATATCATGTTCTGCTGCAGCTTTCACTCTTGTTCTCTGCATTGCACAGAGCTCTTTCACTGACACCTCATAGAGAAAATCTGTTGCTTTAACAATAGCAACTTTGCTTACTGTACTTCAGTACAGCACCACTTGCTCACCTGGTGTGTGAATTTGAGATAAGAAACTCTGTTTTTCCTCCTTTCTCATTTAGCAGGGTAAATAGAATGGGAAATAGAAGTCAACAACAAAAACAATGAAACAATCAAAGGAAATATAGAGAACCAAGCCCAAGGAAACAACAAAATAAGAACAAAACCCTTTCAAAACTCTTTTCTCCCCTAATTTCTTGCTGAACTTGAACACGTTCCTAGCAAGGGCCTTCAGCAATTCACCTCCCACTTGGCAGCAGTGAACCGCTTCTCTAGTGCCC